CTGTCATGCACGGCTACCCCCCTCTCCCCGTCCCCCACCCCTAGTAAATGATAGAATTCTGGCTACTGTATATTGTATATGTGTGATAAGGTGGAATTCTATAGAATTGTGTAGAAATCTAGATTAGCATAGATATACTTTTTATTGACCAAGTTTGTGTGAAGCGGAAATGTATGGAATTCTATAAAATTCTGCGTGATCAACTGTGTCTGTACTGACGTAGAATTCTACCTCAGTACACATATACAATATATCAGCCGAGTGGGAGACAAGCGGAAATGTATAGGATTCTATAGAATTCTAGGTTAGCAGAGATATACTTTTTATTGATCGAGTTTCAGTCAAGCGGAAATGTATACAATTCTTTAGAATTAGAATTCTACGTGCGCACAGAGATAGTTGATCTCCTAGAATTCTATAGAACTCTAGACATTTCCGCTGGACTCAAACTTGGTTGATAAAAAGTAGATGTTTGGTAACGGCGAATTCTATACATGTCCGCTGGTCTCCCATTTGGCTGTTATATTGTAAATGTGTAGTAAGGTAGAATTCTAGGTTAGCATAGATATACGTTTTATTGACCAAGGTTGAGTCAAGGGGAAATGTATAGAATTCTATAGGATTCTACTTTAGTGCAGACATAGTTCCTCACCTACAATTCTGTAGAATTCTATACATTTCCTAAATTTTTGTTTTTAGAATAAGGCGGACTTATCATGTTTCAGCTGGGAAAAAGTTGTTGTAGAATTCATAGGGAAAATGTATAATTCTGCAGAATTGTGTAGAATGTCGGAAATGTAGGAATTCTCTCATTACTGACGTTATTTATCAGAAATGAAAAAATGGTTAACAGCTAGTGAATAGAAGTATAATGTAGCCCTGTTAAATTGTGTCCTGGCTCTCGCAAAAGAAAACGCGCAGATACAAAAGGTGGAGAAGAGAAAAATGATGAACACAGAGAGTAAAAATACAATCAATTAACAGTATGTTCTAAATGTTGGTACAGTAGTTTTTTAAGTGGTCTGCAAGATTGACAGTCCACAAGTGAAACTTGCAGAAAATTCCACTCTACCGCAGTTTTATAGAAAAATGACTACTGAACTGTAGTATAGCGAGCTAATGGACAGATGGCAGAACGATTATGGCTTAAACGCGCTTGACGGAATTGCATTTTTTCAATTTTTGGGTTCTGTTTCTCCTCAAATACTGAACAAAAGATGACGAAATTTTTATCAGAGATGTGGGGTGGAATGCTTGGTTTGTGGTAAAAATTTCGAATGCGTCGGTTAAGTAGAGCGATTTTTATGAGTAAAATAGGTGTCATGACGGAATTACATTTTTTAGGCTTTTTTTTGCTAGTGCTCTACAAACTTTGAAAAATGCTCTAAAACGAAACATATCCAGAAAAGAGTCTAATATAAAAGTTGTAGAGCATGAAAAGAGCTTTCGAATCATCTCTTTACTTTCACTCAAAAACGCTTAAATGAAAAGAAACAAGCGAAATGGCTCCGTGACGGAATTACATCATTTTTTTGCTTTCTTTTGCGGTGGGTTTTATCGTTATATTTCTACCGGTAAAAAAGACTTCTATAAACTTGATCTGTACGGAGCCTTATGCAATCGAGTGCCCTCTATCAAACTAAGCAAACTAAGCTTTATCAAAAGAACAGTGGGAGAAATATTTTTGATTTTCGTAGAATTGCTCCAAAAAAGGTATCATTTCGAATTCGGCAAAAAATCGGTAAAAACCAGCAAAATAGGCATGCACCGGCTTCGGTTTTTAACCGAATAACCGAAACCGAACATAACCGAAACCGATCATAATGAATAGAAGCGGGTGAAGAAGACGTAGTCTCAACGTTGCTTTTGGGAGAGGTCATATAACTCAGGTTGGATTAACGCAATATCATTATAACAGCAGCAGACTATCATTCTTTTCTAACCTTGTACTATCTGTTTGTTGCAAGGGGGTAAAAGCACCACTTCATTTCACTTCACTTCACTTCACTGCTGAAACGGCGCCCCTGATGGGGAGGCAAGCAAGGGAGGGAAAGTACCATTTCACCACTTCCGCTTAACTTGAAGTGATTTTTTATTGTTTCGACCGTTTCAGCAGCGTTTTACCTAGATGAAGTGAAGTGAAATGACGTGGTGAAGTGGTGCTTTTACCCCCTTGGTTTGTTGTCTGATATATTTTTGGTTTTGTTAAACGAAAACGTAGTACTTTATTTCTGACATCACTATATTGTTAGACGTTTCTGTTACCAGCTGATCAAAATATACTTCATTTTGTTCATCTTTTGTTCTTTTCTACTCGTTTCTTTTCCTTTCTTTTCTATGCTTTCTTACGCATATATCTAAACCGACTGAATTCCCTGTTGAAATATTTAATTTTCCTTCTTCACTTGGCTGAAAAAAATACCAAGAAAATAAAATTTAGTTTTTACAAAGCCGGCCTTGTCAAGCAAGACCGTCTTGATCAGTTTCGGTTATGATCGATTTCGGTTAACCGATGCTGAGCAAAAACTTGTTTAGTGTGCAAAATGCGTTTTTTAAGATTGTTTCAACAAAGTCAATAGTGCATTTTGTAGAGAGTTTAATTCTTTATCCACTGATATACTTTCTGAAACTTTTTAAAAAGCTAAGTGGGTCAGAAAATTGAAATAAAAAAACTTCAAAATTTTAAATTTGAATTTTTGATTTAAAATTTTGAGTTTCGTTCGTTTTAAAGTTGATAATCGTAATCAGCGCAAAAAGCTGCGTCTAATGATGTGCGTTTAAGGCTGGTTTGAGAGAAAAAATATCGCTCAACCCACCGTAGTTGAGGGTGACAGTTATGCGTTTTAGCCGATTATGGTTTAACGTTGAGAATGTCTCGTAGTTACAGAAGGAATTGCGCTTGAAGAATCAAGTAAAGTAAGATTATTAATAATACGAAAAAATGGTACCAGTCGAAAATACTGCCGGGCGTACACTAAGATTTGAAAGTGATAGGATGGATACAACCTCATTACTGTCCTGAAAATAGTTAAAGTCTTGGCTAATGATTCCCGCAGCTAATCTTTGTGCACGGTTTAATGGCTCAGGATGAGTAGAGAAATCCGAGTCAAAAATTACACTACTGTAGTCAATTTTAGGTAGAATGCAATACATATAAATAATAAGACGAATTTTCTTCATAGAACTAGAGAATATTCTACATCATGACATATGCGGAACCAGAGATGGGACCGGTTCAATTGGAGAAAACGCTCCCAAGGATCATCATCTGCTTACTCTCTCTTGTTTCGTATTTATGTCAGTTATATTAAGGACGCATTTTATCATAGTTTATTTTGTTCTTTGCTCTTCTTGTTTTTATTCTTCTCACACGTGTATTTTTTAGAAAAATTCGTTTGTATTTTGCACCATTCTGTTGATCATACAACATGGATCACTGGATCCGCTAGTATGGCTTCAAAATGTATTATTAACTGCTTTCAAAATAAAGATAGTTTAGACCAAAGTTTCGGTTAGATTCGGTTCCGTTGCCGAAAAATACGAACTGATCCTATCTCTGCTGATTACATGTTTTTCAAAATGAATATTGTTTTATTATTTGGTAGTGGAAACCTGGAGGTTTAAGCCTTACTTGTACCTGCGTAGGACGTCTTTTTGGCGTGACTCACAGATAGATCATGGCCTTCAAACTCAGAAAAATGGTTCGGTTATCTATGGTATAGCCGAGACTAACTCATGCAATAGGCCCATCGTTACTGTCCATCCTAAAAGTAGCTTCAAACAATAACTCTATAAAAGTTAGATTTGTGATGTTTATATTTCGAACTAGAAAGTAAAATAAAAATTACTGTTTGAAGCATAAGTAATCAAAGGAAGGTACCATAGCCAAAAGCGTATGTGCAAGAATAATCATCGTACGTATACAAACATATGTGTGCAAAATGCCGAAACTTTACTCAGATGAAGACTTTTGCACAATTCTCTTTTCATTTAAATAAGTTGTCGCGATTCTATCAGATCTCCATATTGACTGGGCTGCGCTGAAAATCTTTTGAGCTCTTGCGTTCGGACCGGACTGAACTCAAAAGTCTTGGCTAATAATTCTCGCAGCTAATCTTTGTACACGGTTTAATGGCTCAAGATGAGTAGAGAAATCCGAGTCAAAAATTACACTACTGTAGTCAATTTTAGGTAGAATGCAATACATATAAATAATAAGACGAATTTTCTTCATAGAACTAGAGAATATTCTACATCATGACATATGCGAACCAGAGGTGGAACTGGTTCGATTCGGTTCGGTTCCACAAAAATACGAACTGATCCCACCTCTGATGCGAACCTGTTTTTTGTTATTACGGAAGTAAATTGTGAAATTTTGGTAATGAAAAGACTTTATTGCTCAAGTACGACTTATTTTGAAAACAGGCTGATCATCAATGGTTAGCCACAAATGTCCTCTTTTGAACAAAATAATAGTTTGGGCTTAATCTCTTAAAGTAGTTGAATAGTATTAGGACGATGTAACCCACTAGGTGTTGTGAATAAATCATCTAGAAGAAAACACTATGAAAAATTTCTTATTTCTACGACCTGCATCTTACACAAACGAGGACAAATAAGTATAACAGAAAACCAAGAAACATAGAAGATATCTATCCATGAATGTCCATTTAAGTGAGCAGAAAAAATACCTAAATGATAATACACGCAAAAAATAAAAAGTAGTTTTTCTCTACGTAATTGTTGAGTAATACAGTAAGTGGACAGAAGATACATTGGAGCCCAATTCTACAGATTAGAAGCTTATTTCAACAGGACCCAAGAAGAATACAAGTATGAAAGTCTGAACACATTCAATCACAGAAGCCCCATGCTTTATTTGCAATATAGGAGGAGAATGTTTTTATTTACTATTTGACATCAAAATATTGGTATGCCTATTTTCTTATACGAAAATTGTTTAACAGATTCCAAAGAATCTTATACTATACAATAATTTAATGTATTTTGTTCATTAATGATGGTGGTACTGGAGCTACTGTAATTGTTTCCACTGTTTTGTTAATTGGTCTTATTCTCTGTGGACCGTGAGTCAGTTTAAATGATCTTTGTTGCTGTTCCGATCTCTTGATGATACCAAAATAAACTACGACCATCATTAAAATATGTTTAAATTCTTTTCTAAACGATTTACCACTAAGTGTATAAACATAGAATGTTGAACAAAAATTGAGATACAGTAAAAATATAGTTAAATAGGATATAAAACTTTCAATTGCATTTTGTACAGTGGATTTTTGTTGATTATTTATTGTGAATGCATTGTACAATAAGTATATTGGAAATGGCAAACATGAAATGACATAGAATAATAATTGTACAAGTAACATAACAGTTAATTGATTATCAGCTATTCCTCGACGTTGTTGTTGCGCATTTATAGTTCTACTAATATTAGCAGTAATATTATGTATACGACGATTTATTTGCTTTATGTTTTGTAGTGTAAGTACGCCGAAAATAATCATTAGCGTGGGTATTAAAACACCAGATAGGAGGGCATTATAAAATGCATAGAATACAGTATAGATCGATGTTGCTGTTGTACAGGTGTATTTATTACCTGTTCCTATAACGATATTCCAATAAAAGTAAACATGAATAGAACTTAGGAGCCAAAATAAAGCCAGCGATGGTATTAAATATCGTGCAACTTTAATGTTACTAAATGCGCGTCGTCGTGCCTTAGATGAACTTGAACAGTATCGATCAGCGCATGCCAATACAATATAAGTACGTGATAGTAAACTAGTAGCAAAAGCAATATATGCGCGAAATTTACAATAGAATGTAGAGTATATTGTTAAATCGTAGTTATAACCAACTGCTAACAGACGTGAAACAATAACTAGATTGATAAAAATTAAATTTGTACATGACGAAGTCAAGATATACAGTGAGCATGGATTTTGTCTATACGTTTTTCTTAATAATATTAAACAATTAAATACACATCCAATATTGCCAAAAACGATCATTAATGAGAAACCATAACGAGCTGATTGTTGCTGTATTGAATTCAATATATTTATAATACCAATCGCTAAAGGAGAAGACATAGTAGAGAAACAGCAACGTTTAGTTTTCCTTCTTAGATTCTATTGTGTCTAATTAAAAATGTGTTTTTCTTAAATATGACAGGTACTTCCTCTTACTTAAAGAAATAATCCTCTCTCCTTTTTTATTTTGAATCAATAGCGGATGTGTCCGGTGCACTAATTCATCTTTTATCAGTACTAGAATTTATCACAGGCAGTCAGACGTCTTTATTTTATATAGTGAGGCTATATTTAAAAGCAGAAAGTAGTGTATTAAGCGCCCACACATTGGTGCCTAAAGTTATCTTACTCTGTAATGCTTGATTCAAGGATTCTTTCGACTAGAAATTGTGCGTGGATAAACTAGAGATAAAAACACTGACCATCATAAAAATTTTGAGTCATCATGCCTGCTCGTTAGCGTGATATGGTTAAATTCAAAGTTTCAACTTCTTTTTGCTGTATCTCCATGCACTACCCATCAGAACGTTTGGAAATGATTAGAAATTAATGTGAACTAATTTAAAAAAGTATCATATTAAATTAGTGTTCATTAATTTTTTTCTGAGAAAGAAAGAATTCAAATTAATTTAAGTTGATAAATTAATTCAAATCAAAATTTTGACTATTAATTTATGGAAGCAAGATGGGTAAAAACTTTCGTAAATCTTAGAATATGATATCTATACAGCAAACATTCATCATAATTCCATCAGGAAGCGTTGGTTTATAGTCAAATCTTCAGAAAACGTTTGTGCATGTTTCTTACATGTTTGATGGAAGTTTCATCGACAATTAGCTAGAGTTGCAGAACATAAAAGCTCGAGGCTCTGGTCGAGTATGTTTATGTTCTAGAGAGATGATTCTGTAGCGAAAGAATTTTTTTTTTCATCGTAAAAAGTCCTAAAAAGAATCAAGCCCTGGAAGAATTAGTTTGTTTTTGGATAAAATCTTGTCTTCATAGAGAAAAAAGAGTTTGATTATCATATCTAAATTTTGAGCTCTATACGATGTCAAATACAAAGATGATGTAATTCTGTTCATTGCTACTAACAGTAACTTTAACTAAATTCAATAGTGCTGAATTTAGAAAACAATTCTAAGTCAAAAAAGGCCTTTTTCGTTTGAGGTTATTTTTTGTGAAAAGTTTAGCTCATGATTTCAGTCATTAGAGCTGTTTATAAGCAATTGCCTCGTATTACCCTGTATCAGTCCACCTTAGAACCTCTTGTATCATCTAAACCGAAACGGAACTTCGTAACTTCTACAAATGGAAGAAATTGGTAACGCCACGAAAGCATTATTTTTGCGGCTGAGTTATTATTAACTCCTGAAACTATAAGTCGATTAGTTGAAAATTTACCAGTACGCGTCATCCAGGTTCTAACTACATCAACTAAGCGCTTGGAAAATAAATTACTAAGGAGAACCCCTTCAAAAATGGTGTTGCGCTTTTTTATTACGTTGAATGCACGACGGCAGTTCTGTTGAAATGTCCGTTTTACTAGATATTGTTATTAAAGAAATATGAGATGAACTATAGAAAATTCCGAAGGAAATGGATGAATATATTATGTATATATCGAAATGAGCTGTGTGTGAAATTATAGTCTATAATCATATCAGGCTAAAACTTATAAACTAAAGAGATTTTTAGAACTTTTTTCCAAGGAACAGTTGCTCAAATATAGAATAGTCAGTAATCAAAAAGAATGAGATTGTTGAGGACGAAATTCACCACAAGCATAAGAGAAAGAAGTATCACGCCAACGAGTCGACAAACACTTTGCTTTAAACACTCGAGATTTCCGGTTCTTTCCAGAATGACCTTAACGAAAGATTAGTCAGATGCATGTTTAGAAGCACTTTACAAAAAGTTAAATAAACAAATAACAACGTCTTTTTTACCAGCCATTGTAATGTGTTAAAACGAATTTTTAAAATCATCTCATGAGACAGTTTTTTTAAGCTTCGTCCTACGGAACTTGATAAAATTGTCTCATCCCATTACGATATCTGTTGACACTACTATACTGGCAAAATGATCGCGTGTAACGTACATCTGCCATTTAATAAAAGAAAATTATATCTCTCGCGCACTCTGTCAAGTCTTATTGACAGTTTTTCTAACAACAACGCGTTTATTAACACGCAAAGTAAAAGTTACTATTGCGTATATGCTATAATTTGTTCAAAATTATAAAATGGCATGTAGATTATCCCAACATCGTTTGTTGATAGTAATTTTATATACGAAAAACTTATTTGGATGAGTTCAACATCATTGTATTACGTACTTTGATTTAAAACAGATGCTTTCGATTACAACTGTAGTCATCGTCAGCTATATTTAGACGAAAAAACACACAGTAAATAGACCATTCTAGCGAAAAATTGACATCGAAGGAGATTTTTTAAAAATCGTTATCACTTCACTTTTTTATGTCAGCGATGTAGAGTCACATCTGTAGTCTGCGTGCATCGAATTATTTTTAAAGTTCTTATAGTAGACAATGTGCGGGATGTTTGGTGTTTGAGCGTGCCTGTGTTAGTGTGTCAAGCACATCTTTTTTTGGCGTCTGTTACTATTGAATTTTTTCTAAACGAAAAAAAGATAGCAAGGTGGTTTTTATGTAAAAAGGTAGTGTAATGAATGCTCCTCCCAAATGCATTTCAATCAGATTACGGGAGCTGTTTATTTTGAAACTCTACTGATTTGAACAAATAGACCTTCATCTGTCATGTACGCAACGAAAAAACAGAAAAGTTTTGTTTTATCTTATGAAACTACTTTTCCAGAGCTCATAATTTCTGTGGAAACAGAGTTGGCTATGGTCTATCTAAAAACCAATTCATAATCTGAATTGTGGTTATTTATTGTTTCTTAAGTAAGCATGTCATGGACGGAACGAAAATAGAGGAAACATATAATACAACTGTAAGTGCTTATAAGTTTAGACAATAAATTCATTTTACAACAAAGATCAAGACGCATCCACATGCATTCGAAAGAAAAGTAAAAGTGTGCATTCATAGCGAAAACAAATCGAGAAATGTGTACGATCAACGTCTTATTACTGTAGTAACATTTTACCTAATTCTACAATAGCTCGATGATTCTTCTACATCTGTACTTTTCTCATCTGACAAAGATTATCATGCACATTGAATAGTTCAATAAAAGCGTGTCACTTAAAATAATTTTATTTACAAACTAAGAAGAAAAAAAAGACAATCAGAATCAGAAGAAACTGATATTGGTAGAATTAATGCAAACTAATCTCGAGATTCAAAGGAATTTGAACAAATTTAAAAGGAAATTCGTTCATATTAATTTAAAAAACTTTTTGGCATTCAAAATTAATGCGCATCAATTTAAAAATACTGGAATTAATTTTAGTTCATTTTTTCGTGAAAAAATTAATTTCCCTCGTTACCGCATTACACAAAGTCTCATATTAAATTAATGTACACGAATTTCTAGCTTCGAATTAGTGTACATTAATTCGAAAACTCTACACTAATTTGAAACTCAAATTAATTTGAATTAATGTTTTTTCAAATTCCTTTAACTCAATTTAATAATAAATCGATTTGCACTAATCTGAAAGAAATTAATTCAAAACAATTTTCAATTTAAAATTAATCTGAATTAATATTTGCAGATATTATCGTTGTTAATCTCCAACCGAATTAATTTAAACGAATTTGTGATTTTAGAATGATTTAAATTGATTTGGAAAAGCATTAATTTACAATAATTTTAATTTAAAAATTCGTTGGAACTAATTTAGATTCAAATCAATTTATATGGGAATTAGTTTACAGTAATTTTCGGTTAAAAATTAATTTAAACTAATTTGAGACTAAATTAGTTCAAATAGTTGGTGAAGATTTCAATATTTTTTTTCAAAAAAGAAAAAAAGTCAAAGTCCCCATAGTATATCTGATATAGTTAGAGGCTAAGTTTCCAGAAGCAACTTTTTGTGAGGAATTCAATGGCAGTCTCAGAAATTCTTGAAAATATTTCTGAACCGAAATAAGTACCTATTTTTGGTTTCGAAAAACTCGAAATTAATTTGCATTCATTTTTTTTCTAATTATTTACATTAACTTTGGATACAGAAATTCATTGAGATTAATTTTTGATTTTAAATTAATTTCAGCAAATATTTTCTAAATCAATTTGAATGAATTAGTTATTACAAATTGATTTAAATTAATTTATGAACAGAAATTAATAAAAATTAATTTTGTTTACAGCTTTATTACAAAGAAATTTGAGTCTATAAATTAATTTATATTGATTTCCAGTATCAAATTAATGTACATTATTTTTCTTTTAACCAATGTAAATGGATTTGTTGATTGAAATTAATTTAAATCAATTTTCAATCAAAAATTCGTGGCATCCGATTTAACGAGAAATAATATGCATCAATTTGGTATTGAAAATTAGTGTAAATTAATTTATAGACTCAAATTTCTTTATAATGCTGTAAACAAAATTAATTTCTATTAATTTCTGTTCATAAATTAATTTAAATCAATTTGTAATAACTAATTCATTCAAATTGATTTAGGAAATATTTGCTGAAATTAATTTAAAATCAAAAATTAATCTCAACGAATTTCTGTATCCAAAGTTAATGTAAATAATTAGAAAAAAAATGAATGCAAATTAATTTCGAGTTTTTCGAAACCAAAAACCCATTGGAACTTTTAAATACTTTCGAATTAATGCAAAGTAATTTCGAGATTCAAAGGAATTTGAACAAATTTGAAAGGAAATTAGTTCACATTAATTTAAAAAACTTTCTGGCGTTCAAAATTAATGCGCACCAATATATAACGTCGAAAAATACTCAATCAGGTTGTTTTCACTCAATTTTTTTCAAAAAAGAAAAAACCCA